ATACAATTTAGGAGCAAGGATTACAAAGAAGTTAGCTGATGTCTTTGACTCACTCCTACTTCACATACAAGATAAGTCGGATTCCAAAGCCTCAAGCAAGCGGATGAAGTTTGACTATGCTAAGTTTTTGAAGAAGTTCAAGGCCCATGAAGCTCATGCTGAGTGTGAACATGATGCATGCAGATTCATTGCTACTCATAGTCATGAATGTGCCATGTCCGAGGACAAGACAAGGCAACTGGAGTTGGAGTTCATCTAATAGAACATAACCACATTCTGTCCTCTTTTGATACCATGAATATTTGGTCATAGGCTATACTGGGTGATCACAAATGAATGAATTAACAGGATTCAATCAAAGACAGCTTGCAATGATGGTAACTATCTATCACGAATGTCAGGAAAATGTCCAGATACTTTTTGTGTCTCAGACTACTCAAAAATATTGTTAAGGCAGCTAAGGAACATAAGTAACTATTTTTATATTTTCCTAAGAACTGGGGTAGGTCTAAGGTAATTAAGGCAGCAAAGGCACAACAAAAGTTTTATAGTTATTTATGTTTATTTATAGCTCATACTCAAAAACTATGTGTGCAACAATCAACCAAAGATCAGCCACTAAAATTCATATATTTCAACAAAAAAACATACAGTACATTTTATTTTATGCTGCTTACTTGCCTTAAATGTCATTTAGCCTTATTATAAGGAGATAGACCTACTTAATGGTCTTATTTCAAACAACAGAATAGTTTGTTTAAAGTTGTAAATAAGCTAAATAAGGCACTTCAAGAGTGATTTAAGCATCCAGATGTTTTCCTGATGAACTACATCTACATATAACATGGCAGGTAGGACATTGGAGAAGGAGAGTCCCATAGCATAGCAGTGGTGGGCATATTGAGATGGGAATGAAGTGGGCCACTTCTAGAGGCTACTAAGAGACCAGAAGAAATCAGACTAGAGTCCAGAGTAAGTTGCCAAAGAGGCAGGAAGCACTGGACTCTGGGATATGGGTGATGTATGGTAAACAAATATAAACAAACAAACCACAATCCAAAGGTAAGTAATAACTCAACCTAGGGACGTCCTAGGGAGGTTAGGAAGTCATGTAAATAGGTAGCAAAGTGTAAGAAATGATACTGTAAGTGTAATAGCATAGTTAGACACATAAAAGACATTGAAATGTGTACTGTAGAGGTGAATGATCATATAACTAACACCAAGCTTATTACTCCATGAAAGCCCAATGTTTTCTTAATGTTGATAATGGCATTGTAAAAAGCCTTTAGCTATCAAGACATAGTATGCAGTAAGCTGCGGCTAGCAATGGATGATTGCGATTGTGCTTACATTTGTGTCTTGCAGACACTTGCAGTCTTTTCTTCACCACATTGATTAGGAAACACCTGACCAATATCATCAGCAGCTCCTTGAAAGGTCAACTTTTTGAAGCTCATAGTGTCACCAGCCTGGGCCTTATGAGTGAGGAGGTACTGGAAAATTCTTGCTTCTTCATTGCGTGCCCAATGCACAGGAGCTTTATGAGTTCTCTCTGATCTTGATAGCGCATCTTTGTCATTGATAGGTCCCTGGGATCAGAGGGAATGAGTGGATGATACAGGGGCATCGCTGATAGACATGGTGGTGGTATGACTTGATGCAATAACTTTTTCAGTGGTACAATTCAACATAATAGCCTTTCAAGTAGATTTGCCCATATCATACCCATGTCCACCTATCAAGTTATCAGCACCATTGAGAGAATACTTTCAAGTGAATATTCACCTTGTCCGCTTGGACATATTTCTCTGAAACTGGCTCTAGCTCAGCAGTCGGTGTGGTGGTCAAAAACTGCAGAATATCAGGAAAACATCCCAATTCTAATAACCTAGCTGTACTAACTTATTCAAGATGGGGATTTCAAATGCAGCACTCATCACATGACCCAGCATCATATCATGGAATGACCTGGCACAAACACCTGGGTTTGTGCTCATGTCTCACTCACTCAGAAGGGATTCATCCTTACTAGCCTTAAGAAATAAGCCGACATGAAGACACATGTATAAATATTAAGGTAGACTTGCGAATCCATCAAATGTCATGTGATTGTGACTGCTTGTGACACTTTGAACTTATCCCAGGATAAGGTCATGCCGAGTTGCCGAGAGACCAAACAAATGCCTTCAAAGGCATGCAAAGGCTTCGAGCAAAAGATGTTATTATGTTGAACTACTGACGAAGTTAGAATATACTGTGGAAAATGTAGTATCAACATTAGTAGAAGTTGTAAGTGAAAAACTATGTGCTGCATGAATAGACTAATTGATGTCCCTTCAAATGGTTGGAGTTGTATTAATCATTCTCCGAGTCTATGAATGACCCAACTTGAAGTTTAGGTCTCTTCAATGTTCTCTACATCGTCATGTTCTCGCGCCAGCGCTTGTGAGTGTTGGATCTGTTGCCCATCTGCTCGTGCTACAGAATTATCGGCACACCAGCATTACTCAAACTACTACTGCAAATTCGGACCTCACCAGCACCTACTAACGGCACCCAGACACTTAACAATAAAAACTCAATTCCAAACTCGACTCTTCAATTTATGCATTTTTTACAATGCTTAATTATGCAAGACAGTATTCTACATGTTTTAGCATTAACATATTGACTTGATGTTCCATCCTTGAATAGAAATTAATTTTTTGGTGTTCTGTCACGAAATTGTAACAATTTATCACATGACATTTGATGGATTCGCATGAAGTCTACCTTACCTGACAGATTTAGAAATGTAATGAATAACTATCAAGGCTAAGGCAGATGGATGCCTAACTCCTTCCAGATAGACTCATGTGTAAAATGAGCTATAGAGACCCTTTGACTATCTTGGAATGCCCATACCTCATGAGGTAGAATATGACCTAGCAAGAATATCTACTGGGCCCATAATACAGCAGCAGTCTCAACTGGGGGATCCAATGACATCTGTTCTGGAATGTACCGAGAGCTACTAGAGCTACCCAGGTGTCTGTGCTGTCCGGGTGTGAGAGTGTCTGATAGTTATATTGGATTGATCTCTCTTCCCATCAACAATAGTCAATGGCTTCCATGGCTTGACATGCGAATACTTCTTGTGCAGTGTGCCTCACAACTTGAGTATTGCTTGAAACTGTTGGGGATCTAACTCCTTCAAGGCAGAGTTCAATCAGATGTTGAGAAGCAAAAGGTTGTCAAGTAGACTAGTTCCCAAACTGAATTGCATAGCTGATTTTATGAGATCTCATGAGATGACAGTGTTTTTATTCTAACACCTTGTCAATACACAAATTGGATAATGTCAATAACTTATCATATGTCCTACAGTGCGCCATGTGGTTACTAGTTTTACATTCCCTGCCAATTGACCCTTCACTATTTTATATGCCACCTTCCTGACCCTCCCTTTTTTATCAGCTCTGTCTCCTATCTGCAGTTTGATTGCTTTCCCAAACTCCATGATGGCGGAATATAGCTTTTTTTCACCTCTTTCATGAATCACAGCTGGGAGATGTAACAGGATGGGGACCCTGTTACTGCTGATAGCCATTCAGTAAATTCAAGGCTCAAGCCATTCTCACTGCTGCTCAGGCTCCTTCAATTGGTTCCAATGAGCTGGTGCTTTGTGGCAGTGAGTGGGCTCTTTCAAGCACTGCTGTACAATACTCAAAGCTTTCAAAGACAACTGGCTAGGGTTAGATTGAGCTACATGCTAAGAAGACAAAGCAATGCTTGCCTACATGAGAAGACGTAACTGCAAGCCCGTAGATCCTCTAGATCTGCTGACCTGGACTTTGAAATAGAAGTCAAAAGGAATGCATGCACATATCTAAATCTTAACCAACAAAAGATAAAGATAATGCATCCCTGATCACAACTTATAACAAAAAGATGAAGATTGAACAAACTGGCATGGTAACCATGCCCTCTACCCAAACACAAGGCATTAGTAAGCCCCCACAATTGAACCTTGATAGAGTTCAACAAAAGATAAGTCAAGACTCAAACTGAGCTTGGAATGACTGGAGAACATATAAGACACCCTCCTACAAATATCATTCCTCAGAAACTCTCATCACTGTATCCTTGAAGGACTCCAATTACAGAAGAATCCTTAGGATGATTGAGAACAGCACATTCAATGAGACTGCTATTCTGACCCCTACATGGTCTCATAAGATCAACAACATCCTTGGAGATCTAGATGCAAGAATTGCATCTGGCACCTCACTCGCCATTTGCATCATCCGCACTATGAAACTGCTAGAAGATGCAGCTCTTTGTACAGACCTAGATGCAGGCACTAAAACACTCACTGACATGCACAAAACCTATTTTGTATATGAACATGGCAAATATCTAGCTCATAATACCTTTCATAATAGCCTATGGGTCTACCCAGAATTTTCTATGCATCATCCATATTTTATTTGAGTATTCTTGGGCTCAAATTTGCTCAGTACTACTTAACGGTTTAACATAATACTTATCCTTCTAAAAGATTGCCTTCAAACTTGTGATTTGCCAATTAGTCAGCAGTTTCTCACACCTCCTAGAATTTTCCCATGCATTTTCACATATTCTAGGGTATGTTTTGTGTCACTAGGCGCCGTCACCGGCGATGACCTTGCTTTCGTTTTCCGCACCATTTTTCACAGTCACGTGTTATAAACTTCACATCAGGAAACCTACATTTCTGCTGATGTTCCTGTCCCCTACTGAACTGTCTGATATCAGACCTACAGGTAGTGCAGTCATGCAGCAATTGCTGAATTCAGTACCATGCCTGAAATCAGTGGTAAATAGCCCTACAGACACTCAGAGGTACTGTTTGTGTACAATTCAGGATGTCAGTTTCTAAGAGATGCAATACATCAGATATGTAGTTTAGTTTGTACAAAAGCCTCACAGCACATCACATAACATCAGGACATTATGATATTCAAAAACATCAAAAATACAAAAATACAAAAATCATATTCAAAGTAACTACTACATTGGTATCTACACTACTAACTAAAAGAAAGAAAGAGAGACTCACTAAAATAGACAAAAATGCGAAAATATTAAGGTCAAAAAGAGGTCAGGGAAAGAAGAAACTTACTGAAAAGACCAAAAATGCGAAAATATATAGCCTGGAAATAAGCAGGGAGTCAGTCTTCAAAGGAGAGGAGGGGAGGGGAGAGAAGAGACTTACCAAAAGGACCAAAAATGCGAAAATATATAAGCTAGAGGTGAGCAGAGAGTCAGTCTTCAGAGGATAGGAGAGACTCACCAAAAGGACCAAAAATGCGAAAATATATAAGCTAGAGGTGAGTAGGAAGTCAGTCTTCAGAGGAGAGGAGGAGAGGAGAGAAGAAACTCACCAAAAAGACCAAAAATGCGAAAATATATAGCCTGGAAATGAGCAGGGAGTTAGTCTTCAGAGGAGAGAAGAAAATAAAATAAAATAAAAGAGGAAGGACTCACTAAAAAGACCAAAAATGCGAAAATATATAAGCTAGAAGTGAGCAGGGAGTTAGTCTTCAGAGGAGAGGAGAGGATTAGATTGGAAACTTACCATTGCACCAATCCCAAAGCCCCATCCACACCAACACATCTCAACTTGAATATCCAGGAGCCTAACTTAAGGGCAAGAGAGGGATTGAAAAGGAAGAAAGAGAAGAGGGCAAGGAGACTTGAACAATGTCAAAAGACTTGAATTGTTGGACGCATTTTTGATTATATAAGCTTTCCCACCTAACTTCAACCAACATCACATGACTGCTTATATCATCAAAAATGCGAAATTTCACTAAGTCCCTGCCACACTATGGTACTAGACATTAACATTAGTATAGTAGTGTAGTATACATTGGATATAATAAAATACCATAGAGTTTATTTTAATATATATCTCTAATGTAACTACTCAGGAATCAGTTAGTAGTAAATTGTTGTTGGATAATAGATAAACATCTGATATATTAAATGTTGAGCTCATCATAGTGTGCAGTGAGTGGGCATTTCCTAATTAGGCAATAGGGCGCTAGTGCAGATGTCTGCACTAGTGCCAGATACAGAAAAATTGTACACACTGCAAAATTATATATCTGTACTTCTGATAATCTAGAGACTAGTAAAGCTGATATTGCTGAATGACTGCATAATTTTTGTTTAAAAGTCTGACATGCCTGAACACTCTGTGATTTTTTTTGTCTGATAATCTGATGTTGCTGAATGACTGCATAACTGTCTTATAAAAGTCTGACATATCTGAACACTCTGTGATTTTGTTGGTCTAATAAGCTAATGTATCTATACAACTGATATGTGCTGATTGTTACTGATTGTTACTGATATCAGTCATGCAGGTAAATCAGGACATTCAGCAGAATTGTAGGTTTCCTGATGCAGGCGCCAGTACTATAATTACAAATGTGCAGTTGAATGAATCGTCCCAATATGCCACCACCACGCCACAGAACCTCACACTTCTTTCTGCTTTCCCTTCTGTGACGTTGTCGCATTCCCATCGTCATTCTTTTTTGTCTTCTTAGCTGCAGGTTCTTCAGCACTCATCACCAGGGACCTCTTCTTTTGCAGCTTCACTGGGCCTTCATGCACATCGTGCAGTTTAAACGCGCTCAGAGGTGTATCATCTCCATCTTTCAAGATATTTACCTGAAGGATGTCCGCATCGAAGGTGTCGTGCACAGGTTCATTTTGTTTGAAGATGGCATAATGCTCCAAATTGAAAGTTACCTCTACAAGGGCTTCACTCATGCATTTTTCCACAGCTGCCGGTCCCACGAATTCTTCATCTTTGTATATGGGGAGAGGATTGGTGATGAAGTTGTACTTGATTCTTTCAAGCTCCTTGGCGAGATGGGGAGGCACAGGCCATAGGTCAGTCTCTTCATCCACCATTTCACAATCTTCTTGTTGCTCCACTATAGAGTTTAATTCAACTCTAGGTTTCCCGTGACATATTGTTACTCACATTCAGATGGATTCTCGAGGTCCTCCAGGTAAGTCCCGAACTTTTTGGGTTGTAAAATGGGTTTCTCCTATTTTCAGACTTAAGGCTTTTCATTAGCAGCGTTTTCACAACGTCTCACCCTTTTTTTGAACAGGCGATGCATGAATCTAACCATTGTCTCGTCGTATTCTTTGACTATCAGGTTCTTCTTCTCTTTAGTCTTGGCTGTTGCAGTCTGTAATTTCTCCAGGACTGTGACTGCACGCATAAAGTCCTCTGCGAACAGTTCTTCTGCAGGTTTTCCGAGGTGGAACTGTTGTTTAGACTTTTCAAGACCAGCAACGTCCAGTTTGAAACAGGTTCCAGCAGGACCACAATTGAAGCGGTAAGCTTCCACACATCCTACCATTATGATGTTTAGGGGTTGTCGTGTACTCTTTTGCATCAGCAATCGTCCGTATTTCTGTGTCTGCCACATGTAATTGTTTTTGAGGTTACCAGCAGTGATATATTCTGGAAAGTCTTTGAGATGAGCACGGTGTTGCGCTGCGTCGAATGACATGGTAGTGGTTGAGAGGATCAAGTCTTGCATGGGAATTCCTGCTCTCATGAGTCTTTCTTAAACATCTCTCTTGTATGATGGCCGACGACTATAAATTGTTAACCATGAAGGAGATAATAGATACAGTTCAAAAACACACTTTGACATTCCACGAGCGCCGCACTCGAGCCAATCTCATCGCTGCAATCAGCGCATCCTCAGATGAAGTCAAAAGCTCTCTTCACGAAGCTTGCCAACGCAAAAGACTCAGGAGAGATCAAGCATGCAAGGATGAGGTCAAAAAAAGAAGGTTAGACAATGAAGTTTCATCCAATCAGACATCACCTTCTGTTTTGCAAGATGTAGACCTTCCGCCATGTTTTTTGAAACCAGTTCAGGAACATGTTCGTCAACATTGCATTGCGCAATATCTCACGCGTACTGGTTCAGCCGCTACTCAATTACAGACCTGTATGATTTGTGCAGGCGAATTTTTTGCATCAGAGTTGGAAGAGATTGCAGTGGACGAGATCCCTCACCAAGAGCTATTGAGGCCAGCATTTCCACACCATACCCAGAGATTATTCTCTGGCATGTTACTTTACAACAATGCAATCCATCTTCAAGATTCCATTCCCAAAGGTCATGCATGTTCTAAGTGTATGTCGATGCTGCGTGGTTCAAAACAGCCACCCTGGTCGTTGTCAAATGGCTTATGGATTGGAGACATTCCTGTGGAGTTATCAGCTCTAACGATCCCAGAACGTCTCCTGGTCGCTCTTCATTTTCCCTCAGCATACATCGTCAAGCTATTTCCCAAGAAAAAGGGCGCCAAATTCTGGGACGTCGCCAGTATCAATAGTGGCATTAGAGGCAACGTGTCCACATACCGTCTCAATACATCGGACATCGCAGACATGGTCAATCCAAAAATTCTTCCACCTCACCCTGCTCTGTTGGCATCTACTATTGGCATCACCATTGTCGGCCCGCATAATTTTCCTCAACATTCCATTCCACACATCCTGACTGTGAATAGGGCATGAGTTCACGATGCTCTACGATTTCTCAAACAAGAGAATCCGTTGTATGCAGACATCAGCATATCGCAGGCACATCTTCACCAACTACCAGAAAATGGGGTGCCCCATGAAATCATGGACATCATAAAACACTCTGAAGACATGGGCGCATTAGAGAAGGAACGTGATGGTTACATAGCTGAAGATGATGAATCAGAACTAGAAGGTGACGATCATAATGATTCAATTCACTGCATCCTCGTTGATTTCAACGAAGAAGAAGACCATATCGATATATTTGACGATGAAGATCAAGTGGAAAAAGACAGGCACGATAAAGACACACCCAATGGTACGTGCAAAAATGAAGTTCTCAATTGTGCCAGTCTCACTGAATATCATGGTTGGTTGCAAACAGAATCCAAGGTCTTCTGTCTTCAAGCCTATGGAGTCATCGATGCTCAGGCTAACAATCTGGAGAACTCGGAGTTGATGGCACATGCCATGGCTAACACAGCTACAAGCATGCATGCAGATTTTGCTGTCAAGAGAGGCAGTAGCTTCATCAATGAATATGGCAGGAGAGACAAACTTGGCAATCTTATTGCAGGCACCGGTGATGATGTGAACCACCTTCTTGAGGCTTTTCCATGCCTGTTTCCATATGGCATGGGAGGATTCGAAGTTTCTCGTCCCATTCCTCTTTCATATCCGGAACATGCCAAATGGTCTCTTCACTATGCTGATTGTCACTTTCGGAAGGACCATGGTTTCATCTTCCAACTCTATGGCGTCATACAGAAAAGACAAGTTTGTTCTTCGAGATGTCTTCAGGTATCTAAGAAAGCATTTCATGACAATGAGGTGAAGTTTTGTTCTGTGCGACCTATTGATTTGGAGAAAGCCAGCGAGGAAGAAGCACGCAAGCTTCCAGTCTCCAATCCCACAATCTTAAGCCTGAAGCATCATATTTCAACCATTCATGCCAAGGTGATGGGCACCGATGAATCGCGTATGAATCTCCGCTCGCACATTTGGGGAATGACTGTTATGAACGGACCTCCTTCACTATGGATCACCATCAATCCCACAGACACTCATGATCCCGTTGCGCAAGTTTTTGCAGGGCAAGACATCGATTTGGACAAATTTGACGACACAGCGGGTCCGGACATGCATTCGAGAGCATGTATAATCGCAGGAGACCCTTACACTGCCTTCAAGTTTTTTCATTTCATGGTGCAAGTGATACTTGAAGAGTTATTTGGCATCCAAGGTCACCATGATCATACAAGCCACATCAAGCGTCGTGAAGGTATTTATGGCACAGTCCAAGGGTACATTGGCACGGTCGAGGCTCAAGGACGAGGCACACTCGACTTGCACATTTTATTGTGGTTGTTGGGGTCACCTACTGCTGCCCACATGAAGGAGCTGCTCAGATCCGTATGTTTTCGTATGAGAGTGACCCAATATATTGCAGATAATATCCACAGACATGTTCAAGGCACCTCTTCACAGGAATTTGACATCCCCTCGCGCAATGGTGCACTGTCATATTCTCGACCTCTTCAACCCTCTGCAGTCAACTATACACACCTAGCATCGAGAATGGAGTTCCTTCTCGCAAAGAATGTTCAAAAACACAAGTGCGGATTTGCATGCCTCAAAGTCATCAAAGGACGGATAATGTGCAAGCGTCACGCTCCATTTCCTGTCTCCGTGAAGGACTGGATCAATATGGAAGGCAAATGGGGTCCTCGTTGTCTTCACCCTTTTCTCAATAATTGGAATCCGACCACTCTGTTGTGCACCAGATCCAACAATGACGTCAAACTCATCACTAACAGAGGGGAGACCAAGGAGTATGGCTGGTATATCACATCGTATATGGCTAAGAAACAACACAACACCTCAAATGCATCTGCACTACTTGCCAAAGCAGTTGCATTCCATCAGAAGAAGGAACGGTACAACGCTGACATCAATCTCCTTAACAAACACCTCACCCAGTGTTGTGCGAACACACTGAGCCGAGAACAAGAGTTTAGTGCACCTGAGGTGATCAGCTACTTGATGGGATGGGGCAATTGATATGTCTCGCATTAAACAGAAATGATTTACTTTTCATCCGTGATCTCATTGTTGAAGCGGCAGTTTCCTGCTTTGAAGAACCAAAAGTCTGTATCTATAAGTATTTTGATGCACACAATATGACTCAATGTCATCCACAGTTATCATGGAATGACTTCTGAAAACACGTTCGAAGGAGACGTGCTCAATAGTGAGGCAGAGGAGGTGAGTGAAACTATCCAACATTGCCGATGTCTATTCACCATCAGGAATAGTTTGTGACCTTGGAAGTCCTGGAGAATTCACTCTACATTCATGACCAGATCGGAGAATATCAAGATCGAGGTGAAATGCTTGAACAGTTCAGTTATCTTGATTTCTTCTTGCAAACTTACGATAAGGCCATGCCTACACATGAAGAAGGCTGTAGAGGCCGTCCCCAATCTGTTAAGATTCCATATCATCAGCATTCTATTCACCAAAACCAATGCCGAATTCTTCATGGAGAACAAGCTGAAGTTATTCCCAATTTTCCTGGCAAATGGTTTGCAAACCGGGAAAATCTTCCAGATCACCCATTATATTGCGCATCATTGTTAGCTTTATTGAAACCATGGAGGTCTCTTGCCGACCTCAAATCTGTGTCCGAAACTTTTGTTGATGCATTTGAACACTTTCTCGTTGACTCATCCCTGCATGTACATGATATTGTGGAGAACATTCAATACTTCCATGATTGTTCAGAAAGTGCTTGAAGAAGACGTGAAGCTGCTGAAGACTTGTACATGGAGGGTGATTTTCAGCATTTTGAAAGTCATTTGGAGGATGACATTGATGAAGAAGATCTGGTGCCACAAAGTTCAGTTGAAGCAGTAGTTGATGAAACACAAGTTCAATATGTGTTACAACACCCTTTCTCGACACAAGAAGCATTGTATGCTCAAACAGCGATGAACATGGCATTCGATAAGGGTGTCCCATGGCACAAGGTCACCAGTATGGCTGTGAATTGAGATTTGCTGCCGCATCCACTGCGGATAAAAGCATGTGACACCTCCTGTTGTCAAATATACCATGTCCGCGGTGGTTGGTGCATGAAGGATGAGGTGTAATACATGCATGTGAGTCTTTGGACATGCCAGCGTGACCCAGCGAGATTGGGATGCATATTTACCAAAGTGTTCGACAACACTAACCATAGCAGGATGGCAGGCTTCTGTGATTTTCTTATAGCCCATTGTCTCCATCAGAAAGTTCTCTAGAATGTAAAATGTTTCGTGCGGAACTACGAGGTTGAGGTCTCGGATGGCTTCATTGATGTCCCCAGTGATCATGGATCGAGCTGCTGATCCAGTTATAAGGCATGCAGAACATCGTAGTGCAGGAACAAAAGAGTCGAACATGTTTTTTGTGAATGGACATATGATGTGTGTGAATCGCCTATGGACCACCTGTTTGCTTATTTGCCAAAACACAGAGCATGTGCGAGTCATTGCGATTAGATCTGTGATCAGCAATGTTTCCAGTATGTTTGTGATGATGTCTCGATTTTGGGTGACTGTCTGGATAGTTAGAGACTTGATTTGAAGTGGTATGGTGGCCTACACGTCATGTTTGACATAGTAGTTCGAATTGTGTTGAGTGACATTGATTATGGTGGTCGGACGTTGTCTTATGCATCGTGAAGAAAATCGACAGTATATTAGCTGGTGACATCAGAAAGAATAAGATGATGTTTGCTAGACAGAACGCCCCTAAACACAGCTTTATCTATCAAACCACCATGCAGTCGAGCATATTTGAACTTCTGATGACTTCTGACAATCAGTGTGCTTTCATTTTCAGTGAGTGTAGACTGACACAGACTTGCTAACAATGGTACTGACAAGTGGGGGTGTAGTAGAACATCAATTCCGCGGAGGTAATCATGTATACATCGAATCTAACGAGAGGATGCATGCTATATTTGAGGCTAGTGGGGATGGGATAATATACACTGAATCACCATCCATCATAGCAAGCAATGCTTTGTACGACGATCCCACAGAGTTCAAACGTGTGAGCTAAATTTTGCAATGATTATGTTAGTCACTCAAACATTGACAGGCATCGCTAACCTGATTGTGCACGATCCTGCAACATCTGTTTGTGTATGCAGAGTCTCTTGCATTGGCACAAGACTTAGTAGATTTGGCATTTAATTGGGAAGCCGAAGCGAGCGAGTGCACTTGATATGGTTTTTCAGAGACTGGTAACAATCATTGTAAATGTATAAGTGAAATGAAAGACATTGAGAAAGGAACCTCGAAAACGGACCAAGCAATGCACAAAAAGGTTATTTAGGATGGAAGAATAAATCCCCAGAGGGCAGAAAGTAAGAAAAAAGTAATGAGAGGCTCAATGTCTAAGGAACCACAAGTCACCAAGGCCATCATCTGCAGGCGGGATGCTCAAGTAGCACACAAAGACATCAGGATGAGAAGAGAGAAACGTGAAAAACGTGGATAGAGTCAGAATTTGCATCTGGATTCATGTGAGTACGAGGAGGTGGAACAAAAGTGTCAGGTCATGGGAGGGAAGTCTAGGATGAGCCGAGTTTGTGGGTCCATGTAATGAGAGATGTTTTCAAGGTGACCCTCTGAATGATTGATGGCCAAGGTCAGCCTCGCATCACTAGCCAAGAGCTCGGCAAGAGCGAGACCCTCCACACATACAATGTGGACCGCGGGATCATAGGCGATGGAGTGCACGACACCTGCGGACGTCAGATACACAAAGGACAGCTATTTGTTTGACTTACGAGCGAGCAAGGCAGAATGTACAAAGATACCACGAGCAACGACCAGAACGGTCACTGAAGGGTGATGGGTGGATGATCGAGAGGGTGAATCACGAATATCAGCACTCGGGACAACATGAAATTGAGCAGTGCACTGGCTACCACAATGAACTAGGGGAGGCAGGGATGAGCAGGGGAGCAACTCTGAAGCGACTAGGACACATACTGAATATGAACGCAGCCTGGCCTGCAAAGATATTCATCAATGAGTACATGGCATCGCACATACTGGGCGATGGCTGAGGTTTAAGAGTTATGATTGAGTTACAGTGAGGTGTTAAATACGGGAGGTCAAACTTGTGAGACATGCCAAGAATGCTCAGGCCTACAGGGACTGAGGAGAGTACGGTCGATCATGGCACGTGCTGCAGAGCAGGCAATGGCGCCACCATGGCATCCCAAAACATCAAAGATTTGAGAGAAGTTCAGAAGGTTCGGGCCACAATTTGGGTGCAAGGAAATTTGAAGGCGATCATGTGGAACCAATGATAAAACATGTTACACCCAAACATTGGCGTCCGCGCCAGCTTCCAAGCCGCGCTATATGTATCGCCTCAAGTCCGGAGCTGAACATGTCATACATTTGGCCTTTCCGCATGTTTGGGAAGTCATGTGTTACATGTGTGATGTGTTACTAGCAATGGGTACACCGGTGAGAGGGCATGAACCAAATGAGACGTTCACATCACATGACCTGTCTGAGCTGATTGAGTAGAGAGCCAGATAGACGGCTTTTGGAACGGTGTGATAAGCGCGGAGTCGGGGACTGGGTGCGCACACACCGCTACAATAAACATAAAGCAGGAAATGTCGTTGTTTGTAATTGTCGACAATGGGCAGAATTTATGCAGTACTTGCCGTTGTTGACGGTTGTGGACGATTCACAGAATTAATGGGTTGGCATATGACCTTGCAAGCAAGGTGATGTTCTGACATATTCGCATACATGGGTTTTTCATTTTTACGGTACTGAGAGGAATGTTTGAAAGACTTCAAACTTCATTACATAATCAGTCTCATGTGACTTGGTGGCACATTATGACACCCATGCAAAGCTTCATCATGACGAATATGCAAGACCAATATGGTATTTAACAAGTTAACATCAGACTGTGAAAATCTCAACAAAGTTTGAGCACAGCTTGAGAGTACAGCATTCAGGCAGTGCAGAGGCAGTGTACATAGCTTTATAGCACAGGTTAGCATAGCCACAGAGCACAGCCACTAATGTTGATTTGAAAGATTCTGGAATATTCTATCAGACAACACTGGAGTTTGGTGGAATAGTCTGGAAAATTCTATGACATTCTTTGAAACTTTAATAGTAGAGTAGTATGTAAGGGGCCCATTTTCCCCTCTAATAAAGAGAGCTCCAAGCCAAGTACAGAGAGCCCATTTCCATATTATCTAAGCTTGAGTGTGAATAAGTGAGTGGAGAATAAGAAGAGTGTTCATATAGCTCTTTTTAAATTCTCTCCTCTAAGATACTAAGTGACATACTGAGTGAAATATTAAGTTATTTCATTCCACTTTTTGACACTGTTTCCCATGACATACAGAAGCATATTTGAGGCCACCATTGAGCCATACTTTTTACACTAGCTGGTACACAGTTATCAGTCATCTAGTGCAGTATATTCCAGTTCTCTTTTAGACACAGGAAATTGATTCTGTGGGGAGAATATACATATTTTCATCAGCAAGGGAAGACAAATAAGACTAACAATCAGTTACTAATATTAAGAACTTGGCCCACTTAAGTCTGTCCTGCGTCACACTCATCGCATAGTGCTTGAGCAGCAGAAAGTAGGTTTTGAAGCCACGTATTAGTTCGGGCTGATCCATGTTAGAGGCTTAGTTTGATCTCCAATTGGTTTGTGAAGATAGGGAGTATCGTTATAGCTCTGAGAATCATCACATAGTCATACATCTGTATTCATTGAAGTCATAGCACTGCATCGCGCCAGTTATTGATTCTGTTCCCCCTTTAGTCACTGTGTACTTCCTTTGAGAACTCAACACACTTTTCCCACGAACAACCACGTTATCGACCATTGGTATTTGTCTGAACCGTTGACCGTGGTAGGATACTGAAAATCAGTGATTTTACTGTTTTCACATCCTAGTAAGACATCGCCATGCTGCATCTACAGAAACACATTCGTGCAATGGTGTTTCACCTACTCCCCCTCAATTTCCCTGACATTGCATACCTAGCTGTCAGAACCGTTGAGGTGAAGCTTCCCACCAATGTGCACCCATTACCGAAGAAAAGAACGGCCACGATTGACTGCACCCACACACAACTTTGTAGGCACTGTGGAGGATATGGACACACCTTCAGACAATGTCCCGACTATGTCTGCTGCATATGCAGCAAGATAGGACCAGATCACCTATTGATCCATTGCACTGAACTCAAAGGACACATCATGCTCTAAGAGTATAGTGATAAAGAGAAGTTCTTTGAAGCTCTCTTAGATTGGGAGCATAACCATAAGGCACTTGTAGACCTCACACTCAGATTCCCTGTGCTACCTTCCCTGATGCCCGCAACTCCCACAGAAACCCCCACGACCCCCACACCTTCTAGTTCCACTTTGGAAGAGAAGAAAGAAGAAGAAAGAAGTTGAAGTCAGTGACTTCAACCATAGTAATGGGGTAATGTTACAGTAACATAAGTCCTCACTCTACGCTCGCCTACACTGTTGGTGTACTTGCCAGATTCAACTCAAACCCAGGCATCGCCCACTGGCAAGCTGTCAAGCACCTCCTTCATTATATCAAAGGCTCCATTGACCAAGCACTTGTCTACAAGCTTGACCCCCACTCCACTGAGTTGTTCTCCATATTCTCTGATGCTGACCATGGTGGTTGCAAAGACACTGGGCACTCCACTGGCAGTTATCTTTAAGATGGGAGTAAAGTGGGCCACTTCTAGAGGCTACTGAGAGACCAGAAGAGATCAGACTAGAGTCCAGAGTAAGTTGTCAATCTATTGAATGGTGTAGTGAAGTTGTACAGTACCTAGAGTCCAGGGTAAGTTGCCAAAGAGGCAGTAAGCACTGGACTCTGGGATATGGGCGACGTATGGTAAACAAATGTAAACAGACAAGCCACAATCCAAAGGTAAGTAATAACTCAACCTAGGGACATCCTAGGGAGGTCAGGAGTTATGTAAAGTGGTAGCAAAGTGCAAGGAATGATACCATAAGTGTAATGGCACAGTTAGACACATAAAAGACATAGAAATGTGTACTGTAGAGGTCAATGATCATATAACTAACAGGTAGTTCACCATGTAAGAGTAATGCTCTGAGGTTGCTCCCTCTGCAAAACAGCTTCATAAATGAGAGTTTGACTTGTCCACCTGCATAACATAGTCAGTGGTGCTGATGGGGTGGTGTCGTAACCTACCGAGCTGGTGATTTGTTCTTGTTTTCTGAATCATCCCATTAAACTGTTCAAATGGAAATGCCCACCAAGTGTTTATTAGTCTGAATGAGCGCAGACACTCTGCCAAGTGCTGTGTAGCATGATTGTTGCTTGTCTTCACTGCCCCTGGCCCGAAAAGCTAGATGGTAGTCTTCAGATAGTAAGTATAGTTTTGCTCAACAAGCTCAATGTGGGTTTCCAAAGTTGAGTGAGTAGTTGCCCAATGAACAGTGATAATGAGCACAGCATGATCACAAGATTGACTAAGCAGACTGTTCGCCATTGATCAGCTTTGATCTTACCGTGGGATGCACTATCAAAGTTTAGTGGTGCAGGATTCAACTAGGAAGGGATTCTGGTCTTAGCGATATCTGACCAAACCTCCTGCAATATACCTTTGTGGAGAATGATGAGTTTCGCCTTCTTCCCCCAAGCAGTAGAAATATTGACGGTAGGGTTAGGGAACACCATTGGGCAGCATATTTCGGCTCCTGGATTGGTCTTATACTACAGTCATCAACCAGTCCCTGAAACACACAATTTGAAAAATGCTCATTCTTCCCACTTACTTGGTGAAAATTGTCAGCTACAATGTATTCTACAGCATTGTCATATCCTGCGTTCCGGACCCAGACTGATCACGCACTCATATCCAGATATCCAGATCCGACCTGCTTCTTACTTCCATTTCCTTCTGCTTTCGTACATCCCATTTTGGTTAGTTCCTACTACCGGTCTACTGGTTATTTACATATCCGACTGTACTGGTTCATCCGGACCTTGTTTCATTTCCAACTGCATTTTATTATGTTCCGTTATACTATTGATAAGCTTTCCACATGCTTTGTACATACCTTCCATTATGTTTCCGTAGTATATAAACCCTGTAAAACCTCTGTACATCCTCAGTTCGAATATCATATTAGATTCTGCTCATTCCTGCCTCTGTCCGACTTGAGTTTCTCCTCTCATCATCTTCCGATAGTCTTAGGATTAATTCCTATTGACTTAAACATCCTCGCCTCTACCTTCAGTAGTCTTCCACTATTTCTTTCTAGTTCGCACTTTGTCCGGATTAGTCTTCTATCTTGTTTCTGAACGTCTGCCGGAATTCCTGTGCATCGGACATCGTCCTATAGCCTTTGGAAGTTAAGGGCACGTACTTGGGTAAGGGGTGCAGCATACGAGCTGAAGCCGAGCCCTTCGGATCCAAACCCTTTAGCACATTCTTAACAAGCATCTAAAGTATATACATATGAAGCAGCATTAAAATCAGTGAAGTAGTGAGTGAGTAAAGCATGGATTAGTGAGAACATCTTTTTTTGGTGTTCCTGAGTCCTTGAAACACCACTGTCACACAGGTGTCACATCACGCTTAGTGTCAGCTCTGGTATTATCATCGCTGCTAAAATCAACCTCAAATGGACCATGACACTCTTCACTACAGTCCAACTTATTCCCAAATTGATCCAGGGACCTGTTAAAGCTTTCTAGGTGCAAAGATGGTCCAACAGGTGGCCAATGTGTCTACAGCAGCTCTAATTTTTTTTGAATAACAGACAAACACAGTTATATCACCGTTTCTTGTGTACATCACAATTAATTCTGATAGAGGGCCTCTCAAAGTATAATAAAAAATCAAATTTGAGGGAATTTGGTGTAAGATTGAGCGAGAAACACCAACTGTTTCAATGAGTGGTGGTGTTACAAGGACCAGTGGAATACTGTAATGTATGTGTCAGATACCAAATGAAAAAGATGAAAAGCAACACAGCCTGATTGCTCACCCATGCAATAAGAGCATCAACATAGAATGACTTTGAGTCGTTTGCCTTATCTCTGTGGCAAGGGTTGTTTGCAACTGTGACTGAGGTACCAATTTTGAAGCTGTGGCCTGCAAAACCTGCAACTTTTCTTGCAGCCGGCAAGTCACATACAAGGGGATGAGCGCTCGCTACCCGGATGATTGCACTTAACCCACAATTGAGGAAGCTTTTCATCAATGTGATCCCTGGATGCCAACAGCACAACAATTCATCAATATCAGGCATAGCAGGTGATTAAGGTGATGCTGGCGGGGTATTTAACATACCACCACAGTAGGTGGCAGTGACAATGATTGAATGACCAAAGTAGTCGAAGGCCTGCTAATAATATCAGGTGAAAGAGCACCATGACCACTACTGAGCCCATGAGAAGAAAAATAAAGATACATGGACCCAGTTATCAACCTCCTCCTTTGGGAGATGGCAGTATTGGAGATGGGCAAGATCTTGAAAGTTGCCTACTTCCCTAGATCATTTTTAGAGTCCCTTTCTAACAACTACACCAATGCAGCATGTACTGTAGTTGACTTCTTTGGCTATATGTACCCCAGAATCGACTCCAATTGCAAGGTGGCTAGTATGTGAGTCAATAGCAATTGCATAGACTGATGTCCACACTCCCATCAGAATAGAGTGAACATGTTCATGATTCTATGCTGAAGATAAGAAACAACTGGTTAGTTGAAACATAGATCCTTGCCTCGATATTTTCCACAATGGCCAATAAACTATCAGCACCCCTATGAAAAGCCATCTTTTCCACTTTGATGGGTCCCAAGCAAGAGTCGTGATTGCACAATGAGCAATGATACAGTACAGTATCTTGCCGGAAAGATGATAGGTAACTAAATTGCAAGATTCACACACATTCAACTCCTCATATATGTTGGACATCCTTTGTTCACCATGGTGACCAAACTTCTAATAGGTGTGACTAGGTGTGACTTGCTTGTTGTTCAGCCCTTTGTGACTTTGATCTTGGTGTGTCATTCCCAGTATTTAAGAATGGACATATCTCGAGATGTTGGTGCCTCAGTGCACTCCATGATGGCTCCTTCTTGCAGTGGAATGGTCTGCGAAACCGACCTTTGTATACACACACTATAACCTTCATTCGATGTTGAAGTCAAAATCTTCCTGACCTGCGGCCAGTCCCAGGCCATCATATCTTACCTTCATCAATATACTCAGTGACCATGAGTTGCACCTTGAGCTAAAAGCTACCCATGAAGTACATGTTCTGGCAGTCATGAAGTCCCTAGATCATGCAGCACTAAGTTGTCTTATTTCAGATGGTTTCTAAAATTTGGACCCTTCTCAGTGCCAAAGTAAGGCAACTAAGAAAGGTAATTGTCATTAGATGACCATGCTGGCATTTTCTTATCACTGGTTCATCAGGAGCTCACTACAACTAAACAAAAGACTAAAAGGCTTCTTTGGAGCAAGAGCATGTTGCTGCTGTGCATGAGAAAGTGCACATTAAACCCTTCATTGATATGTTCGAAGGCTTAAGTCTATCCTTGTGCAGTTCTTACATCCCATTGAGATTGTACTGGATTGTCCCATTTGCAAAGCAGTTATGGAACGGCCTTTCATGTAAGCCTATTTTGATTCTGATTCTTGAATGCTCTTCACAAAGGTATTCACACAACAGACTAGAATGTAAACATAGCTAAGCATAACCAATTGGTTTCATGAAAGTATCAGGGCCCAGTTTGTCCTCAAAACTTCAAGGACAGATGAAGCGCCTGCTGGGAAACCCAATTCCAACAGCAGTTTGTGCATCTACTTAATCTCCTTACCTGCCTCAACCGCAGCGATGTACTCTGCACAGAGCCATGACCCCTTGCAGCTTGGAGCTTGGAGCTCCAAGAGACTGCGCCAGTGCCTATCTTGACAAGATAATGTTAGTTATATGATCATTCACCTCTACAGTATGCATTTCTATGTCTTTTATGTGTCTAATCAGCTCACAGGAGGTCGAGTCAATCTCCCTTCTTGAGACCTGACTCATATCCACACATATCTCCTCTCAACTTCGACTTTTGCATCCATATCTCGCTCCCCTGTAACCCGCCACCTTATCGGTCTTCACCATCGTCTTCTACGACCTTGAAAACCCTCTGGAGTGCGTTAGAGTTGTTGTAGAGTGTCTGGATCATCAGTGATAAGGAGATCAGTGGGAGATCAGTCAATTTTGGGCCCATAGTGCGCCCCTTTCCACACTTTTGCCTCATATTGAGGTCTATTCATCACATATCTGACTCGGGGTGTCTCCCATCGTGTTCTGCGCCTTCAGAAGCCCCCATACACTCAACTGCATTGTTCCTGATTGAGCCCATTGCTTCCAGCAATCCATTCTTCACATCCATCTCTTATCAGCACTCAGATCTATTATTAGTCTCCTATCTAAGGGTCTCCTATTCATTATCCTTGCTTTCCAACGCCCTCAGCTCACTTCCTGCGCCCTCCTGCATCGTCCGCACTCTTATTCCACCCATCCCTGAGCCTTGCATCGCCCTTGCTCCATGTCTGCTGAGACCACCTCCACCAAGTCACCTGCTGTGCTGACAGAGGCCAACTACTCTACCTGGAAAGGAGAGATGAAGGCCTATCTGCGCACCAAGGGACTCTGGCTGCTTGTCTCTGGCAAGGAGACTTGCCCTCCAGCCTCTCTGGCGGAGGAGCAAGCCAAGTGGGATCAGAAGCAGGACAAGGCTGCAGGTGAACTGTTTCTTCACTGCTCTGCAGACCAAAGGCTGCATTTTGAGGACGTTCAGGACAACCCTGTCAAGATCTGGACCACCCTCGAGTCTACCCACGTCCAGCAGCTCCCTGCTACGCGTTTCAATGCCTGGGACAACTTCTTCACCATTAGGAAGCGCCCTGATGAGTCCCTGAGCACCCTTATTGCCAGGATTGAGGAGGGCATGGCCAAGATCCAAAGACTGCACCCTCAGGACTCTAGTAAGCCCTACAGTCTTTCTGTGCTTTGAGCAAAGACTATGCCCAATTCACATCTAGCCTGATCCTCCTCAAGTCCTTGGATAAGAAGGAGCTCAAGGCTGCCTTCCTTGCTGAGGAAATTGTTAGTTTGTAACAATTCCACTGAAAAACGGCCCATACCTACCTTCCACCCCCAAAGGTCCACCATTACCCAAATTCACAAGTGCCATGTCAAACCTAGCAGGCACGTTCCTATGGCAGCGGTCGTGTCTGGCTGGTCGAGCATGAATCGAGTCGACAGTAAGGTTGTTCGGTGTTCCGTCGTCATTGATGATGTTGTAACGGATTTTATGAAACACAGCCACAGATTGAAAAGGGAGTATCACATCCATGCCATGTCCTCAAGCTGTCGTGCAGTCAGATCTGGCTCTGTGACCTGCACTACAAAATGTGCGAGGGTTGCACGGAAATGCACTGCACCATACTCGGCTGCAAGTGCCGAGAAAGTCACTCGTTTAGCGGAGGGGTGCTTTGCGACTTTGTATTGTCAGGAATACAGAAGATCAATGTGTGGCAGGGAATAACTAAATGATTGGTGCTGATTTGAGGAAGCTAAGGAACGACGCCACTGAATGAATTGATGGTGCCAAAGAATCTTTTCTCATTGCTCGAGCCAAAGGGTCATCTGCATATACTCATCTTTGTGGTTTGTTGCGTGGTAGGCATCCTTTGCAAGGTTGATATGAAGCCGTTCAGTATACTCGGTATTGTAGTTGTCGGTTGTTCCAAAGTGTTGAATCATTGTAACATAGTGTTGAAATGAGTGGAGCTTAGGCAGATTGAACGATGAACGGATACCAAGATCCACGAATATTGACTTGTTGTCATGAAAGCGATTGAGTGCATCGTCCAGAAGATCCAAGGTTCGTTGTGAGTGACAAGGATAGCGTGAAAGATACAGGAAATCAAGCAGGCCTCTTACAGCACGGACCAGTCGGAGTGGTGATCTGCCATTTGGCAGGCCAATATCAATGATTATTCCCAGCAGGAACCGGCAAATTTGTTCGTGCTCCGTGCCACTAACCCACGAGAGAATGGATATACCTTTCATGAAGACTCGCACATTATGATTAGGAGGCAGGCGTTTGCATTGCGCATTGATTTCTGCATCGCTGAATGCAGATTTGATCCATGAGATCAGGTGCTTGACGAGTCCTTGGTACAGTTGATGCAAGATGTCGGGAGTGATGGCATGAAATATGTTACAATGCAGCAGGTCTTCCCAGAAAGGATGATAGAGGGGTTTGATTCCCGCACTGCGACAGGCCTTAGTAAACTCATAAGGTCTTCATTGACAAGAGCGAGTGCATCAAGAATGTCACCCAGATCACGGGTGTGAAAAGGCAAATCCTTACTGCCAAGTTCGTCCAATGGAATATCACACTTCGGACATTCACCAGTTTTGATGCCTGTGACGAGGAGCTGTTCAGGGTAATCTTCAATGTAACAGGCAACCAAAGGATGCCCACGCCATAATGCACCATCTCCGTTCATGATTGCCATCCCATTGATACCTGGCTCTACCAGTGACTCAACAACATGGCGCATGCAGGCATGGAATAGATTCGTGAGACTTCGGTGTCTCGCTGATTTGTTGGTGATATGTTCTAACTTGGTGGTGGGCAGATAGGTGAGGAGTATCTGAGCACTGCGAGAGGGACGTCGACAGATCTCCTTGGGCAAGTTTCCAATAGTCATGTATAAGGGGTAGGCAGCTTTATTCCTAAACATTGTTACTTGCGTTTTGTCAGATGACAACAAGATCGGTATAGCGGTGGTGCCTGGTTTCTCTTTCTCAAGGTGCTTCTATTAATAAACTCTGAGTTAGCGGTAAGTAAACAAGGCTAACTCAGTCCGTCACCTGTGTATTCCACCACCATTTGCCAGTGTGTAGATCGTGGTATAGCCTTTGCGTCTCGTCTTGATCTGTATAGTGCCGCTCTGGGACAAATACAAGGTAAGGTGCAAACTCTGGGTCCCCCATAAAGCGCTTTGACACAGTCGATGATATCTCGACAGTACACATCGAAAGCTTCACCCGCCACCAAAATCTCCTTACGCTGGAAGCGAGGCTGGCGTGCAGGTATCTTTGTATCAATTATTTTGTTTAGTTCGCGGGAGTTCTTGTATGACAGCCCTAGCTTCTCGCAAACCTGGTTGCAGTGAGTATCCCTTGCAAACTAAATATCATTCAATAATTATACTCACTCCTTCAATTTCGAGCAGGTCTGAGAACGATGTAGAACCAGGGCCTTGTGTCTTGGCCCAGTGGGCAACCTCATAGTCAATTCGAGATGTGAAAGGTGCCCAAATTCCATCCTCCTCGGCAGAGGACACCTGCTGATGATAGCAACGGTAGCCAGTCTGATGACACTCTTCATCTGGGTCCGAGTCTGAATTCTCCAAGTCCTGGGTAGCTCCTGCATTGCGAAGAGGGAACTTAACAATATGTGGTCGTTGAAATAGTGGGGCTTCTGCATCATGCCGGCAAGCACAATTTTGATCAGTGCTGTGAGTGTCGGAAGTTGTGTCTTCATCCATAGGCAAATCCTGATCTTCAATGGTCTGCTCTGCAACAGGAGGCTCCCAGTCTCATTCTTGCTCAGCTACTGCTCCTTCAGCCTCCATATCCTCTTCCTCTGATTCCAAGCCATCACCTTCAGTGTCTTCTTCAGCATCATCCTCAGGCCATTCCAGGTCCTCAGCTGCAGTGTTAAAGTAGTTGCCCTCAAATATATTGGGAGGTGGGTTCTCATCTGACTCGAAGTTGTCCAATTCATGCTCATAGACTGCGCCATCAGATCGGTGTTGTACTTTGGATACCTTTGCAGTTGTTGGACTCGGAGGATGTGGCTCGGAATGTAGATTTGGTGCCGAAGGTACGTAGTTTTGCATCTGCTCATATATGATGATGCAAGCAGGATTCTTAGATTGAGCTAGGTGGCGAGAATAACCATTTTTAGTGAAGAGATGCTGACATCCATCGCAAGTAGGCATGATAGTAGATTGGCCTATGACACTTTGGAACCGGATTGACTTGGTGAGTTTGTGTTAACAGTGTTTGCCGGATTTGTGACTTATTTTTTTTTTTGCAAATCGATTCGATCAATCAGTTCTCTTATCATCTTGCCTCTACTCCACTGCGATGGAAAAAACAAAAGGACCCACACCCAGCAAGAAAGCTGCAGCCATGCGTGCAGCCAACTTGCAAAAAGCTGCAGCTCCAAGTCCTGCAACATCGGATGGCCAGCCTGTACAACAGGCCAAATCTACTGCCTACAAGAATCAAGGTTCGTTGTTTGTTGTGCCTTGCAATCATTACTGTTGGTGTGCGCTGACCCACTTATTTAGTTTGGATGGCAGAAAAGAGTACTAATCGGAAACGTGCTGCATCCAACAATGCCAAATCAGAACACATCAAGATGCCTCAAATTGTGACATCTGACGTGAAGTCCAACACCAAGGTTGTGTCTGCGTCTGAACTGTTTGACTCAGACAATGACATTGGTGCATTAAGTGGCGAGTCTGACGAGCATGGCACCGGTGACGACTCGGATGACAATTTAGATGTGTCCGATGATGATCTCAAATCCCTCAAGGCGGACAAAAAGAAACTGAAAGAAGTACTGGATCTTGAAGTAAGTTTTTTCATTATGGTTGGAAGTGTCTGCTCTGCTGATTTCATCTCATGTCAAGCAACCTCAATTTGTAAATTGTGCACGGTCCAAGAGCACTGGCTCTGAATTGTAAGGTTCTCATCTTAGTTAGGGCACAAGTGACACTGATGACGACTCGGATGAGCCTTGCATGACTCACACAGCTGTCTCCGATAGAGACGATGACATGAAGGCCATGGCAAAGACTCACTACCACACACTGGCACCAGACAAGTCAAAAAATTGATTAAACATAGGGTATTGTCCTATTCTTACTCTGTTTGCTTATTGTATGTACTAAGGTAGGTTGCAGAACACTTTGACCGAAGGAGCTCGAAGCAAACACCAGGAGAAACGAGAGCAGGAGGGGAGTTCATGTTTTTTTGTTCCTTTTCAGACGGCACTGACTGCTAGTTTCATGGTTGATAGAAACTGACTTGGCGGGATAGTACTGAAGACACAAGTGATACGCTTGTGACTGCCTCAAATCTGAAACTTGTGCGAATGCGCGAGGAGGATTGGCCTTTGAGCAGCTGGATTATTTATAGTACATCAGGCAAGGTTAACCTAACAGATCAGCAGGCCCGTATGCAGGACATGCTGCGCGCTTCTATCACCCGCATCCTCGAGTACCTTGTGTTCGAAAATGCATATCCTGACTTGGAGCATTGGTGGAAGATTACGGGAGACATTTTGCTCACATGCACCGACGATCAACCTGAATTTGAGGCTGTCAGGTCACGACTAATGAAGGATGCGAAATATGTATGAGCCCTGGCTTCAGTGGTACATCTTCGAACTGACACTCAACGCTTCACATTCTCACAACTTTTCATAAGCCCAAAGGTCGTATCAGCCATTTCCGGAACAATGTGTGAAAAGTGGCTCAAGTGCATGTAGTGAGTCACTAGGGTCTCATCAAAGGCGCTGACATGAAGGTCACTGACCTCTTGAAAAAAAAAATGTTCATATATCCTGTCAACAGTAAGGTATGTGTGCTAATTGATTGATTCATACTATCAACTGATGTGTGTAGGATGAACCGATTCGAAGCAAGCCGTACCAGGCACCTGCCATCCTGGACACCATAGCGGAGGCCTTTTTTGTTGACGACACAAGTGTCGGAGTTAAATTTCATGAGAAATTGGTGTCGACTGTCGAGGATCGTCCGGATGAGAGGGAGCTTCCAGTTGCTATGGTTGCTCTCACAGGAACAGCGGTGAGTTCAATTTAGGACTCCCTGAGCGAGTTACTTATTGCTGTATAGGTGCGCAGCGTCATCATGCAATATTCATCTGAAAAATACGACCGTGATTTTAATTGTGAATTATATAGTGGGATCTACAAAACACTCATAGGTATCCTGAACGGTATCTTTGACACTAGTGAGCGCAAGTACCACGTACTGATGCATTCTGTCTATAAAACTGTCTAGTATGTGCTCGTTTGATTGATTTTCTCATTATTTTGCTGATCGTGTATTGCAGTGGCTCCAAGGCCAATGTGGTGTGCAATCTTGAGACAGACGAGGCGTTGATGTTCCTTGACATTGATGCAATGCCAGAGTTGGAGGAGTAGTAGGTGATGAGCGCTAGTAGTAAAATTGACTAGGATTCACCTGAATTTGATTGTTTTCATGATGTTTGAATTGGATCTATTGTCTGATTTATGCTTTGGTATTGGTAGTAATTAGGGTGAATTGTCTACAATTGGGAGGGGGACTAAAAAAATCAGTCATATCAATGGAACATATTGAATCCTCGACAATCCACGAGAATTCGGTGATATTGTGTCAAATTAGGAATCACCGATTTCCCTGATGAAATATTGTGACATTTTTTTAAGCCACTATAATTCCTCTTCCAGAACTAGATGGGCATTTTGAACTTGGGTCTTATGATGTCTATAGGGCTGGTATGGCTTGTGTTGAAGAATATAGGCCTATCTTTATTTGCATCAAACCTATACAGAGCCACAATATCAATCTTGCTGACCCTGATGGGTAGGTCACCTTTATCTTAAACTTACTTAATATCTCAAAACCTTCATGCATAGCTCCATATATATCAAAACTAAGTGAGCTTTGATATTGTTTGGGAGTTCCATCTAAGCAATATAGGAGTCAGTTTAGAAAAATATTCCTACTACTACATCATTCAGACAATTATGTCTTCTGCTACAAACCAACCAGGATAGAAATATGAGGATTTCTTGATTGAATATTTGAAGATTGAGATTTATTTATTGTGTTCCTGTGAAGCTTATCTTAATCAATTTGTAGGTTCTACAACTAAGACATGCAATAGAAAATCTAGAGAGGAACCTGTGTGTCACAAATCTTGTTCAATTTCTTCTACCATAAAGTCATCTAAATATCAATGTATGCACCAAAAGACCAAAGCTGACACAGGGTGGAAGGTGATAGATTCAATATGACAGATTGATATATGACGACTTAGGGACTAAGATAGCTAGTAAAAGTCTATACTAATAGTACATCCATCATACATACACATCTTACTAGTCATAATTGTCTCTAGCAGAAAGTGCATGTAGTTGCAGTCAGAGTTTCCTGTCTTCAATGATATGTGATACATACACAATCCTGAGTCCTGACTATTGCTAATACTAAGCTAGTCCAGAATTTACTAGCTTAAATGAGTATACAAACACAAGGTATTGGACAAGAGTAGTTGAATAAATTCCTAGGTGCTTACTTACTTCAGCACCTTGCAATCAGCTTCAATATCTAATGTTACTGTTTTGATAGCTTTTGAAGTTGTTCATCTTTTTTCACCTGTCTGCCCTGATCTGTAGCTTCATAAAGTCATCAGTGCATATCAAGTAATATGCTCTCATACTTATTGTTCTAAGCACATAGCTTGGCATTCTCAGTACAAAGTTGTATAGTCTCAGCATGGGCTTTCTAATACTATATATCTGAACTCATGAGATGCAAATGTAGGTATGATTATATACAAAAGAGATATTGCATTCTTAATAATATTATAATAAGGTGAGAGTAAAATATAAGCTATTCAGATGGAAAAAGAATATACTAGCAGGAGTTCGATAATATTAACAGCAATTAAACATCAGTACAGAGCTGCTTGGTCATGCTATGGGTCATGTGAGGCTCTTACCAATCCTGGTGCCCTTCATTTTAGTACTCTTAATTGTTAAAAGCCTCTTGTATGTTTTGCTTTTGCAGCTTCTTATGCCAGCTTTTGTAGTATAAATACTTTGTGTTTCAGATCTTCATGATGAACACATTTTTTAACTCCTTCCAGTTGATGATAGGAAATGTTGGTTGCCAGTTGCAGAGATTGGCAATAGTGGCTGCAGCTTCAATTTCATCAGGTTCTGACACTAGATATATGTGCTTCACCATATGATTTATATCTAATGTAGAAATAGAGAAACCCTTAGTCACCTTAACATATCCAGAGTTTGTGAAAAATAATAATAGATTAGTATATAGTCTAATATATTGGCTGTCTTTTATCTATAAAGGCTTTATTTGAGTATTTTATAATATAGAGAATCTCTTAAGTCAGCAGCTTACCTATCCTATAATCTTCATTTCTACAGCATAGGAAATCTATTGGGCCAGCAGCTAAAGTCATCTATTATGTAACCTCCATCTTTGCATGCTATGGCCATTCAAGATCAACCTGCTTTTGCAGAGTATCAAGAATAGTGGAAACCTATTGTAAAAACTCCTGCTAACCTTAGTAGGACATCATGAAGGTAGGGATCCTATGATGAAAGTATCATAACCATATTATGAGTAGTATGCTGAATCTGAGATAACAACTGCTTCTACTGACAAAGACTTTAATGCTAAGAATCACTAGATATATGGTCTACACTCAAAAGGTTCTATGTTTGCATGCTATGGACTAGGCTTTGCTTAGTACCTACTGTCTGAATATTACTATGATCCTTATATGTCCCATATTTTATAGCTCTTTTATGGACATCAGCTTCTGTATCACAGTAGCTATCATGATGAAGCCTACTACAATCTTTAAGATAGATATGAAAGTTACATAGAAAGCTATTGCATCCTCCAAGTGATCAATATTTTGATCAAGAAGGAAAATATCAGTATGAGTATAGATGTAAGTATCCTAATGAGTACCCTAAGGACACAGAAGATAGAAGACAAGGTCCTTAAACTCATGAGCTTATGTGTTTCTGACTTTCTTGCTATTGTTCTTACTATTTATGTTATATACTCAAATAAATCTGTTATATAGAGCCCTAAGAGAGGTGTTGTCTGCTAATGTTCATAATATAACTAGAAGAGTCTAGTATAGTGAGTGAGACTAGTGATAGATGTTTGCAGTAGCCATAGATATGCATGTCATATGATAAGTTTTATAGATGGATGTTTTAGAAATAAAGTCACTAGGCTTTAAAATAAGAATAGTCTTGTTCAAATAATGAGTATTGATTAAAGTAGATTTAGATACAAGGAGTATCTAAGAAGTTAAACTAGAGACAGAAGATAAGGAGACTTCTGAAAGGAGTTTGTTGAGGGAAGATTAAGTAGATTTAAGTTAGAGAATCTAATACAGAATAACCAACTACTTATACTAAGTGGAAGTGATTAAAAGGCTAAGTTACCCTACTGTAGATAAGAATATAGATATACTGGCAACACTACCTGATTAGTAATAGATGGTCAAAATAGAAATATGATCAAGAAATATTATAAGAGAAGCCACATATATAACATGAGCCAAGATAAGTCAGAATGAGTCATAGTATGTAAACATTGGTGTACAATCTACAAGAATGCTGAAAAGGGGTCAGACATGAGGAAAGAGAATGGTCCTAAGGATCCAGTTAATGGATAGTCAGTAGAGGAGGCTGAGATGATAAATGATGAAGGAAAGGATGAAGGAAAAATGATAGGAATGTCATATAACCAATGTTATTGTAATAGTTTGTATTTACTATGTTCTTTTGTATCTAAATCATATCTCATTCTATGAGAGAATAAAATATTCCAATTGTGCTATGGAAAATATATATAGAAAAACATATAAACTCCAGATTTTCAGAGGCCCTCTAAGTAGTTAAATATTGGAGGCACTGATATACAGAAGCCATGATTAATAGTAACCCTTGTTGGGCAACATCTGGAGAGGATAGTAAGTTGAGGTTCAATAAGAAACATTTAAAAGACTGTACTCATACTCTATCAAAAGAGTTGACATGTATCCTCTTGAGGAAGATCTACTTAACCCTATTAAACTAGGGGAACACATCTCAGAGAAGAGGGTCTCTTAAATTATATATTCCCTATATAATAATAGGGTCTAATATACCATGAGAATAGTGCCAGAGTGTTGCCAAGTGTTAAGAACATGCTCAAGGGTCAAATCCGAAGGGCTTGGCTTCAGCTCATGCGCTGCGCCCCTTATCCGAGTATGTGCCCCTAACTTTCTGAAGGCTGTCGAACGATGTCCGGAGTCCAATGTCCAATGCGTGGGAATTCTGGTGGACGTTCGGGAACAAGTGATAAGACTAATCAAGACGATGTCCGAACTAGAAAGGAAACAGTGGAGGACTACCAGAGGTAGAGGTGGAGGTGACAAGTCTATAGGAGTCAATCCTAAGACTAGCGGAGGACAACAAGAGAAGAACTCAAGTCGGACAGAGGAGGGAATGAGCAGAGTCTAAGATAATATTCGAACTAAGGAAGTACAAAGATTCTACAGGGTTTATATACTACTGAGGACTTAACAGAGAATCAGTCAGCGCAGTCCGAAGCTATGCAAGGCTGTGGATGGAGTGTATAGAAAAGTCAAACACTAGTCTATTGGAAAATAGTAAATGAAGACGGAAATGAGAACATAGGAGAATAAAGGCGGAAATGAAATGAGGTATGGAAAATGAGTATAGTCTAACTGGAGAAGGAACGTACAAAGGGATAAGGCACGGAAGATAGATGTGGGTCGGATCCGGACAATGGATAGAAGTCAGCCAGATCCGGAAATCCGGAAATGATGTGTGTGATAGGTCTGGGTCCGGAACACGGGATATGACAGTATCCCCCTCTTAGGGCCAAGCCCATGAGGCTTCTGATTCGGAAGTCCAGACCGGACTTCTATGAATGCAGGATGATGGGCAGAGCTCATAAAAATAGAACTGGACATATATGTAGGCCGGGGCGCCCATGAGACGTCTAAAACTTTCCCCTTAACTCCTATTACTGCTTAACATGTCTAACTCCACTTCCAGCAACATGAAGTCCGCCTGGCAACTCCTCCAAGAGAGGCAGGCGGAAATGGCGGCTGAAATCGCTCGACTCGAGGCGGACACTCAGAGAGAGGCGGAGGAAGAGGAGCGCAAGCGCAAGGAGGCGGAAGAGGAGCAGAAACGGATGGAGGAACAGAAGCGGAAGGATATTGAGGAGACTCGGAAAAGGTTGGCTGAGCGCGAGCAGGAGTGTTTGGCAAAGGTTAGGATGGGCAATGCATTGGAGGTGAGTCGGATGAGGTTTTTTTGTGTTTTTTCCAGAGTTCAACAAAATGTTAGTCCTCCAGTCCGGCGGATCCGGAGGT